GCACACCCTCTCCCTCGTGCTCGTGGCTTCTCCCTTGCCTCCGGCAAAAGTGCGGAACATCAGATGCTGACTTATGTGGATCGCACTCCGAGGATTTGGGGAGAGTTGTGAAAGACTCCTGGGGCGGCTCTGGGGCCCGGCCAGCTTGGGGATCGCCGTCCAGAAGGTCCCTCCCGACACATGCGGGAGGAAGGGGTGCACGGTGGGCGGGGCAGGCGGGGCATCTGAACCCAGTGCTCGGGCAGCCTGGTGGGGCGGCAGGGTGATCGTGTCTGCCTGGCGGGCACTGGTGGGGAGCTCTGGGGAGTGTGCCCCGGAGGGGCAGCTCCTCCGCCCAAACCCTGTCCCCACTCTGCCTCTCTTGACTGAGCTCTCTGGACCCCGACCCTTGTTTCTTTCCTCCCTCCTCTCTTGAACTGACTTCTTTCAGCTGTTTGTCTCTGCCTGTCTTGGAAGCCACTGTGCCCGAGGCTACCAGCAACCTCTCGCTGCTGAATGTCACAGTTGGCTGCTTCTCAGCCTTGCCTTGACCCCTTGGCAGCTTTGGATACTGTTATTCCTCCGTCCTCCTGGAGATGCTTGCCACCTTTGACACCACTCCCTCTGCTTCGCGACACCACCAGCCCCTTCCTCAGTCCCTGGACTGCCCCCGCTTTGTCTCCACACTCCACAGGATGTCCCCCAGTCTGCCCGGGCCACCTCGATGCTGACCAACTCCGAACCCATCAGAGGTGCATTTCAGCCACCCACTTGATATCTCCCTTGGGTGTCTAACAAACATTTCACTTTTAATCCTTTAAAACTTAAGAATTATTTATTTCTGGAATTTTCCACTTAATGTTTTCAGGCCCTGGTTGTCTGCGGGTAACTGAAACCGTGGGAAGCGGAACCACAAATGCAGGGGTGGGGCTACGCTGAAATGACCGGAGAGTGGGGAGTTTCAGGAGGGGCTGTTTGCAGTTGCAGAGAGAGGGGTGGGGGCTCACCGGGAGGGAGGCGCTTGAGCAAGAACCCGGAGGAGGGCAGGGCAGGCCCCTGACTGACCTGGGGGAGCTTCCCAGTAGGAACGGCAGGTGCCAAGTCCCTGGGGCAGGAATGCACTGGAGGAAACACAAATGGCTCTGGAAGCTTGGATTCCTTCAGGGCCAGGAATGGAACAGCTCTTTCCATGCCTACGGACATGCGAGGGATTCTGACCATTGAGAAATTGCCATTCAAAGGAGGCAGTGCCCCGAGGGCCGCCACCTGAGAGCCCTCACTGCTACGCTCGAACGGGCATGTCAGATCCTTTCTCGCGTGTAACCCCACCCCCCCACCCCACACAGACTGGATGGAGGTGGGACTGGGTAGCATATGAGGTCCCACTGTGCTTTGAGAACCCATGAGCTTGGGCTCCATTTAAGTGAAATTTCCAGGAAACTGCAGAGTATAGAACATTCTGTAAGTGGACGGACACCTCTGAGCCAAGTCTGTGTGGAGCAGGCCCCTACCAACCCCACCGTGATTTTAGAAAGTGAAACCACATTGTATGACATTCTCATGGAAGTAATGCCTGGCTCCGCTGCCTTTTAAGAAGCAGTCGATGCTGAACTTGTTCACCCCTTTCTTCCTGCCTCGGATTTCAGATTGTGTCACCCCTCTCTCCAGGTTCCAGGAGGGGTGGCCGGGGGTGGGGGCTGGCCGTCACCTGCTGGGCAAATGTGCGCAGGTGTCCCGCGTCTGAGACCCTGTGCAGCGGGAGCGTCGTGGAGTCTGGCGTCCCTCGTTCCTGCGCTAGGTGTGGAGGGCCTGCCGCTCACTGGCAGACCCCGCCAGATCCTGCAGTCACCGTCGGTCTCCAGGGGAGACCCGCACGGACTGTGCCAGTAACAGGGACTGCAGCATAGGGGTCTGTGCTGAGGGTGACCCACAGGGGTCCCCAGAGCAGCAGCGCCCACCCTGGGCCCCTCGTTGGAATCACTGGGGAGCTTAAACATACGGATGCCCGGTGCTACCCGCAGAGATACTGAGGTCACGGGTGTGGCGAGCAGCCCAGGCTTCCCCGGTAAATCTAGGAAGGAGCCAGGCTGGAGGGCGCGGGGACCAGGCTCTCCATGGTGCCGAGGAAGCCCAGTGGAGCTGGTCCGGACAGAGTCAGACGGGCTGGCAGGTCAGCGGGCTGGACTCGGCGTGTAGAGAACGTGACCTGCACCTGGGTGCCCAGGATTGACAGTCACAGCGGGGCATGTCATGATCCGACTTACCTTTGGGGAAGGGGAGGGTCGCCTTCTGTGGAGGGGGCCTCGCAGGGAAACGGGGGTTGCGGAGGCTGACGGAGCCCCCGGGCCCCCGGCCGGGCCCCTGCTCTGATGCCCCAGGTCCTCCCACCCCGGGCAGCCTCTCACAGGTGCCGACTTCTTCCCAGCAGGCAGCGGGCTCGCACACCACACCCCTGCCCAGCCCCCTCTGCATCGCCGGGCCAGCAGGGGTAGCCTGCACTTTACAGATGAGGAAACTGAGGTCTTAAGGCTGGGGCCGCACAGCCAGTGAGTTTTGCGGTGGGAGCTTGCGCTCAGGTCTCTACGGTCTTGCCGCCGCCTCCAGGGTGATGAGTTCCAGGACACGTCACACTTAGCGTCCTTCCTGTGGCAGGACCACCCTCTGGCTGGCGGCCAGGATCCAAAGCCCGGGCTGATAGATGTCGAGTGCCAGTATTTTATCGTCCCTTTAACCCTATGAAACGGTATTCCCGTTGTGCAGATGGCGAAGCCAGAGTCAGGGAGGCCTGTGGCTTGCTGAGATCATGTGACCATGAGCGGGCACCCCGAATCATGAGGTTTTTGCGAGTTAACCGCTACCATGCCGAGGCCTGGAGAAACAGCGTCCAGTTCCAGAGACGCTGTTCTTCAGCGCTTAGTGTCCCCGCTCTCAAGAGTTCTCTGACCAGAGCAAGGGTTCCATGGTCAAGGAGGAGACTGCCTGCTGGACATTTCTGCCCGGTGCTAACAGGGACATCCAGGTGGTGAGTTGGTGTTGCTCCAGAACCGGAGCCCATGGAACTGAAAGGTTTGGCCTTTGCCCCACCCTAGCCCCCAAGGAAAGCCTCCATCTCTCTCTGAGCCTCAGTTTCCCCATCTGTGAAATGGGTATAAAAGAGCTTTTTCTTCCCACCTTCTGAGCTGCTGGGACAGGCCAGAGGTAGCAGCTGAGACAGTACTCGGGAGTCACAGGGCGGCGTGCATGCCAGCTGGCACTGTCCTCCCCGGGGCCGGGCAGTGGGCTGAGGGTTGGCGAGAGGGACCTGCCTGTGAGAGCCTTGCCCCGACCATAAGCGCTCTACCCAGGTGTTTGCCTAGCGCGGTGAGGGGGAAACCAGATTCCCTAGTAGAAAGGGCTGTGGTTGCTGTAGCCGCAGGAGCCTGAGGGTAGAACGGATGTGAAAGGCAGAGAAAAAAGTAGCGAGGTGGGCCACGAGGTCACGGGCATTTGTTTTCATAGACAGGCACTGAGGACTTGTCAGCTTGCGCACTGTTACCCTGTTGGCCTAGGTTGCTCTTGGTTGTGGGGGATGTCCTGGGCCTTGCAGGATGTTCAGCAGCGTCCCTGGCCCCACCCAGTAGATATCAATAACGTCCTCTCCACTCGCACATGTGAAAACCAAAAATGTCTCCCCACACTGCACACTCGTGCCCTGATTGAGGGCCACTCATCTAAACCCTGCTGTTTCAGCTTCTTCCCTTCTCTTGCTTCCTCGGGCAGAGCTGGCTCCCAGCCAACACCTGGAGCAGGTGAAGTTCCCACCTGCCTCACCTGCCACCTCTCCCACCTGAGGCCCGGCTCACTTCCATTCTTCCATCTCGGGGGCCAGCCTTGGAACCTGGGACAAGTCACCGTGCCTTCATTTCCTCATTTGTAAATTAGGGCTGTACAGTAGCCACCTGGGTGGGTTCTATGAGAGTACAATAGTTAATATACAGGAAATGTAGCACAGTGTCGTTCCCATTCAACACATACTTATTTTTGTTGTGCTAAGCTGGGGAGGGGCGGCAGCAACAAACAAGACAAGGCCTTGACCTTGGGGGTCACAGCTCATGACGGGGGCAGACTCATTATCCTGCGATTGCGATTCAGTGGAACAAGTGCTGTGGCAGGGGAAGTACGAGGGGCAGTGGGAGCTGGCAGGAAGGACGCCTCATCCAGGAGAGAAAGAAGGAGGGCTTCCTGGAGGAGGTGGTGTGCTAGCTAGAACCTGAAATATGAGTAGAGGTTAACTGGGTGAAGAAAGGGGAGGAATAACCATCTGGGTTACCTATTTAAAAAAAAAAAATTAAGCCCTGGCCAGGAGACTCGGTCGGAGCATCATCTCGTACATGAAAATGCTATGGGTTCGATCCCCAGTCAGGGTGCTTGTGGGAGGCAACAGATTGATGTTTCTCTCTCACACTGATGTTTCTCTCTCTCTCTCCCGCCCTCTCTCTCAAAGCAATAAACATGTCCTCGGCTGAGGATTAAAGAAAAAAAAGTAAAAACTTTCCTGAAAAAGTTTAATTTAACAGGCTATTGTGGCAAATAGGGCCAAACTGTGTCCCAGGATCCTGGTGCACACCCCTGTCCCCCCGACCCCCACCCCCACCCCCGCCCCGCTCTTTGTGATCCCTGACATGGAAGTTAGGCCAGCGCAGAAGTCAAGCGTAGAGTTAACGCCAGAGGGGACTCGGCCCTCCCTCCTCTCCCCACCAAGTGGGTGGATGCAACTTGGTGCTAGAAACCTCCCCAGGTGCCTCAGAGGGAGAGAACAGTCCTTAGGGGCAGGCGGGGGTCCGGAGGTCACCCTGCTCAGCGCAGTGTCTCCAAACCCACTGGTGGGCGCCGCTGCAGGTGCCGTCTACAGCGGGGTGGGGAAGGTGGCGGACGGAACCGGGTGGGGCGCCCACGGGGCAGAGGGGCCAGCACCGCGGCCTCCCAGGTGTGTCTGGGCCGGGCCCCCGGTGACGGCGCGTGTCGTTTCTCTCCCTTCACAGCTACAGTCTCCGCCTGGCTACCCGGTGCTCTGCACCAGCCACCCCATACGTCACCAGGCAGTGTCGGGGTGTCAAGGCCACGGCTGCAGCGCAGTTCCAAGGACCCCTCTTCAAAGAGTAGAAGCTTCGCCTGCTCCCTGACAGGTAGGGGGAAGGCGGAGCAGCTCCTGGGTCCCACTGGGTGGCTCTGGAGGCAGAAGGGGACTGTGCTTGGCCCTTGGCACGGGCAGGGAAGAAGAGAAAGGGATGGGCATGATGGCTTGTGAGGTACCCTCTGTGTGTCGGGTGGGGCGCAGGGCCGTCCTGCAAGGAGGGTGCAGTGTGGGCCCTTGGACCACCTGGTTTCGAAGCCCAGCTCTGCCACTTACTGGCTGTGGGACCTGAACAAGTTAGCCAGTTTCTCTGAACCTCAGTATCCACATCTATAAAATGGGGACAATAGTACCTACTTCATAGGACTATGAGAGTTCCGAGTATCAAATGTATATAAAGCACCTAGAACAGTGCCTGGGCCACTTCCCTAAGTGCTAGGTAAGTATTAGCTATCATTGTCGGGAGAACGGTAGTAACAATCACGATAATAATAATACTCAGCTCTTAATCGAGACCCTCAGAGGCTTTAAGCCCAGAAGGGATTATGAAGCCCCCATGCCCACAATGCATTTGAAAATATAAGTAATACTAATCTGTAAAATAATTCATTTAGATTTATGTTGAACCGGAAGTCTCTTTCTAGATTTTCTGAAGGTAAAACCTGAATTCATCCGTAGATCTGGCTTTTCATCTCCAGGGGCCTGGGCGGTGTCAGGGATGGGAGCAGGCTTGGGTTTCCCTGTTGGTGACACAGTGTGGCTTCTTTCGTGGTGGCCCCAAGACCAGGCCCTCCCGCATAATTGGAAGCTCTTGTGCACCAAGACATCGGAGCACCGGTGAAGAACACAGACCTCAGGGCCCCCTGCAGTTCCCCAGACAAGCACGCTGGTGCTCAGGGCTTAGCACCTGCATTAGCAGGTGGCTGGTGGGTCTGGGGCGCCCCCAAGCCTGGGGTCATTTGGAATGTGCACGCACACGGTTGTTTAAGGCAAGGATGGGCAGAGTTCCGAAACTCGGGGGTCTTTGTGTTGTCCTCTTTTCTCTTCTACCTGCCCCCCCCAACCAGACAGCTCGCTCGGCTCTCCCTTAGCAGTTGGCGTTTCTGGGCTCGGCCTTTTTTTCTCGGGGTGGCGGGAGGTTCAGGAAGGGCATGAAAATAAAATCCACTTCCCCCAGAGAGTCTGTGGTCGCAGCCAGGACTGAGCCCACCTCTCGGGGACCAGGCTGAAGGCTGAGACAGACAGTAGGAGAGCGCAGAGCGGGAATGCCGGCTCAGCCCTCTGCCCCTCCCCTCGCGCAGAGAGCAGGACTGGGGCGACTTCCGGAGAGTGGGAGGGAGCGTCAGGACGAGCGGGTCTCTGCTCAGGGTCCCCTGCGTGTCCCAGGATCCCCGCTGTGGCCATAGGTGCTCCCCGGGGTCAGGGCACGGCCCTGGACGGGCGCCTCTGTTTGCCTTATTCTTAAACGTGTGCAGCTTCCCAAGCAAGTCCGAGGTCGGGGCGGGGACTCACCCGCTGTCTCGCAGATGCTGCCTTCTGGCTGTGTCCTCCCGTGGAGAGAAGGGAAGTGCTGGCATCTCTTCTTTCAAGGGCACTAGTCCCATCGTGCCTTCATGACCTCATCTAAGCCCAGTCACCTCCCAGAGACCCCGTATCCCAATACTACCTTTACATGGGAGGTTGGGGCCCAGGTGTCAGGGGACAGGTCAGTTCATAACAGTTCTAGAATGAGTTTTAAAGTGCCGTGGAGGGGTGCGTAGGTCCATACCCTCCTTTTACAGATGGGGAAACTGACAGAAGGGCACGTGGCCGAGCTGGGAGCAGAGTTCCAGTCTCCTCACCCGCAGTGTGGAGGGAGGACTTTACATGGGCTGTCCCCGCCCCTGGATTTCGCAGACAAAACTGTACCCGCGTGTGGGGTTTGTTATGAGAAAAGGATGATAGCCTCAAGACACCCAGGACCCAGGTTCAGGCTGTCGCTCTTGGCAGGTTACAGGCTCTGAGAGCAGGTTACCGGACAGTGGGGACTGAGCGAGGCTTTGTCCAGCGTCTGCCGTCCGCTGTCTCGGCTGTGCCTCCCTCTTCTCTGCGTTAACGATGTCGCCGGCAGAGCCCAGAGCACTCTGTCCGCTTTCTCATCCGAGAACGCGCCGCACCACCTGGTCCAGTGTGAAGCTTGCATGGCGCACCCTGTCTTGCCTTCGGCTCTTTCCCGTCCTCGGGGTCAGCTGGCCTTGTGCCTGAAGGTCTGGGAAGGGAGGCCCAGGGAAGGGACTGGCACCTCCCCCTTGTCTGGACTCCACTGTGATCCTCCTCTCCGCTGTCACTGCTCCTTTGCCCGCCTTAGGTCCCAGGGGTGGGTGGAGGGGCACCCCAGCCTGGCTCTCTGATAGCAGAACCCCCCCTGGGGGCAGCCTTGCCAACCTCCCTAAGCTCCCGCCCAGGGTCCGGCCCACAGTCCCTGCTGCTGGCGCCGCCTCCGCAGAGGGCTACGTCTTGGGTAGGGGACCATCAAGATGGCTTCTGTATGAATCCCACTCAGCAACCCACAGGAAATTCGCGCATGCTGGACACATGCTCCCCGACTTGTGCTCAGATGGGCGCGGGCACATGCAGGCCTCCAGGGGCCGGGAGGCTGCCCCTCCCCAAGGCTCACGCTCCCCTGCAAGCAGCTCCCTTCCCAGACCCTTCAAGGGCTGTGGCAGAGGTTGGAATCGACAGTGTGGTGGCAAAGGGCACGCTTCTGGAGTTGAGTCCTGGCACCAGGAATCCTGGAGGTAGTTTGCTTCTCTGCGTTTCAGTTCATGCCTCTGTAAAATGGGTGTGTCGCGAGGATTTCCGAGGCCAGTTAGTACATGAAAAGCATTTAGGAAAGTGCCTGCTATGTAGTAAGCCGTCCATAATCCGCCACTGCTATTATTCTTATTCTTATTGAATTATTATATTATTATCAGTAGTAATAGCAGTAATAATGATAGTAGTTATTATTAGACTACTAATAATAGTAATGATAACCAGGCTCACTGGGGAGAGGGCTGAACCCCGGAACCTGACTCAGCCCAATTCCTGGTTCATAGTCAACTCAAGGCAGCAAACACTATTAGGTGCTCACTTGTGCCTGGCTCTGTGCCGAGTCCTAGAAATGGGGTTTCGGCAGAGGAAGCCTGGCTAAGCCTTTCCCTCACAACGGAAAGCACACACAGGCTCCAGAGTGTGCTTGTCCTGGGTTCAAGTCCCACCTCTGCCACTCGCACAACAGCCTGCCCTTGTAAAATTATCTCTCCTCTCTGAGCCCTCATTCCTTCCATGCAAAATGGGGGTCTCTGTCGCCTGCCACGAGGGTGGCTGTGAGCACTAGAATGAAATCGAGTGACATCAGAACTGCTTTGGAAAACTTCTCAGCAGTATCGACTGAGGCCGAACAGGCGCAGGCCCCCGGGCCCAGCGAATCCACTGTTAGGGGTACACTCAGCAGGCGTGTGTGCACGTGCGCACTGGACAACACGCACAAGAGCATTCACATTATATAGGTACACCCCGCTCCCCAGCCTTTCCCCCATACATACGTAGGTATCCACATGCACCCCACACGTCTTTGAGACACATTTGTGTGTAAGAATGTCCCAGCAGCGTTACTCACAATGGCCCCAAACTGAAAACCACCCAACCGTGCATTGGCAGGAGACCAGGCAGGTGACGTGGCGGTCCTACAACAGACTCCTGCAGCGAGGAGGCTGAAGAAAGCGGCCCCGCAGGCTCGGAGCCGACCAATCTCACAGGCGCATTCAGCAAAACAAGTCGGACACGAAGGATGTGTACTGATTAATTAATTTCATTATTTAAGTTAAAAAATGGGGCAATCCATCTACAGCGATAGAGGTCAGGATAGTGGTTACTCCGGGGGCGAGAGTGTTAGCGGTTATCCTAAACGGGGCTGGGCGGGGGCTGATGGGGGTGTGGTCCTGTTCTACCTCCTGATCTGGGTGCTGGTTACGCAGGTGCGTTCACTGTGAAAACTCATCAAGCTTTACTTTTCTCTGTATGTATGCTACACTTCAATAACTAGCTAAATTGGAAAAATGAAGTAGGATGATGCTCGAACAGCCCACGGTAGGCACTGAACACGCGCCCAGCGTTACCAATGTTCTTTCCTTTGTCTCCTCAGCACCTGAAGTGACTTGGAATCAGCGAAGCCAAAGGGACTGGCCTTCTGCCCTGTGGGGAGTGCCGACCTCTTCCAGTTCCACGAGCCTGTGAGAGAGAGGGAGTGCGTGAGTGCGTGGATGTGAGTATGTGCGCGTGTGCGGTCTTCAGACGAGCGTCCGGAACCCCGCAGAGGCAGGGAGGCAGCCGATTCCACCCCACGGAGGACCCTCGGGTGCCGCCCCGGACCGTGTTCTGCAGCCCAGCCTCTCTGCGTGGGTGGGGCCTCTCCTACTATGCAATTTTTCAAGAGCTCCTTGATCCTGCTTTTTGCTTCTCGAGTTGCCCTTTGCCGAGGCGGGGACCTTGGTCTGGCCCAGGGGTCAGCTCCAGTCCTGTCCGAGGAAGGCCTTCAGGAGGAGGCCAGGCTCCCCTTCCGACCACCCAACCCCCCACCTCCTGCGTCCCCCACCATTTCTGGGAATCAATCACGTGCAGACACATTGGAGCCTCCCTGACTGTTCCCCTTGGCCTGTGCACTTGGAAAACCCCTTTCCTGGCCTGAGTATTCTGAGCTGCAGGCCGTTGAGTCATTTCCAGATTTGAAACTGTGCATCGGGAGAAAGCCCTTGTCCTCATTTATGGGTCAGGTTTCTCCCGTGGGACAGGTGCGTGGGGAGGATGGGGCGATGTCCCACATGCTCCTTTGTCCCCCGTGGTTGGGACCATCAACTCCTCTAGTGTCTGAGCTTCACAGATTAGCTGCCACGGGAAACGAACAAACAGAAATTGGGAAATGAATATTCAATTGGAAGTTAAAAAGCGTAGAGGGGGAAGAAGAAGAGATTCTGGAAGCCCTCCATCACCTGCCAGGGACTGGTGGAGGTGGCTCCGGCTCCCTGGGGGGACCGTCCATGCCTCGGAGAAACGGGTGCGCTGAGCTAGGAGTTGGGACCCAGTGAGGGTCTTGGGTTTTGTGCCTTTGGGGCAGACCCCAGACAAGGATGTCTGAGTCCACTCGTGCTGTTTCCTCTGCCCCATTTTCAAGGGTAACATAGCCAGCCCAAAGCGGAAGGAGGGGAATTGGAAGTGCGCGAGTGGTCACATGCAAAAAAGGGACTTTTTTTCAGGGCTACTATGGTTGATCTTGCAACTCTGTAAATATGTATGTAGACAGTTTTAAAAGCACGTATTTATGTCCCTGACTGTAAATGCCCCATTTTTAAAGTTTTATAACTTGTGTTATTTAATTAATCAGTCGACCGGCTGCAGTGCGGGCTCTGATAACAGTCCAGGAGAAAGTTCTCGGGAGATCCTCACACGGGCAGAAAAATGCTGATCGTTGGCCTACGTCACAATTTCCCTGTTTCCCGCCCAGCTAACAACTGTTGTTTGTTTTAAATTTTCATAAACTGGAAGGAATCCTTTGGCCTGCTCCTGAAATTAACCCTCACAAGCATGAAAATCTGTGGCTGTTCCCTATCCCAGTGATACGATCTTGTCCCATAAATGTCCACACTCCCAAACTGTGCACTCAGCCTCTTAGTTCTTGAGGGTTCTCCCCGTTTAGCAGCGAGGGTAGGTTTACGAATCCAAAACTTGAAAGTCACCTTCAGCCAATGGCAAATTCTGGAAATGCTGTGTGTGGGGGGTGGGGAGCCACTCATTTTTTTGCATGTGCAAACATGCTGCTCAGCTGTCAACACTCTGAGGCTGTCAGGAAAACTGCTACGAGCCATCCAGTCATGAAAAGGGGGAGCAATTTTACAAAGAGTGGCGTTTCCTGGCCCGTGGTGGCTTTGGAGCGTGGGTTGGGACCTCAGCTCTGTATCTGCCCTGTGAAGAAAATTAACAATAAAAGTGTGACGTGCGATTGTAAGGAAGAAGCGTGGGAGTGATCCTTCGGGTTTTCGGGTTTTTCGTGTTCCATTTTGGTGATGACCGTGTGGCTGGCAGGGGAATGGGCTGGGGGTGGTCGGGCCCTCCCCGAGGACTCCATCCTGCAAGGAGGGAAAGCTGAGGTTTCAAGGAGCTCGCTGAGGAAACATCGCACCTGGTGCACAAGGCCAAGTCCCTCTCCCAGCTGCCAGCAGTAAGTGAAGCCATTGCACGAAGACTAGAAAGGCCACCTGTGACAGCCAATATACTTTCTTTAAACAGCTTTATTGAGATCTAATTCATATACCACATCGTTTACCCATTTAACTGTGCAAATCTGTGGTTTTTAGTTCATGCAACCGTCACTGCTGTCAATTTTAGGACATTTTCATCCCCTTCTGTCCCTGAGCCTGGACTTTTGCTCCGCCCTAGATGCATGGCCATATCAGAAGCATGAATTTAAAAATACGGGCTCAGGGCTCCCCAGCCAGGGTTAACTGCCAGCTCTGCTCCTTATGGGCCTCGTGACCTTGGGCTGGTCACTCACCTTGGGGTGGTTCCTTATTTGTACAAGGGATCGATCACTGTACCCACCTTCCATTGTTCTAGTGAGGAGATAAATTAGCTGCCACTAAGTCTCCTTAAGGTAGGTTAACTGACCTGTTTCCCAGATCCCTTGGCTGATTGACGGATGAGAGATTCTTGGCCTCCGCCTCGCCCCCAACCACTGAATTAGAATCCCTGAGGTGGGTCTAGGCCACCGACATTTTGTCAACTAGTTCTATTCGTCCCACCATGTTTAGTGCCCGCTAAGGTCGAGGACTACAGCCATAGGAACAACAGAGAAGAAACATTTCGGGCCTGAGCCAGGCCACCATGGTCTCTGGCCCGTGGGTGAGCCAGGTGCTCCTTGTTAATGCTGCATAAGGACGCAAGGAGGCTTGAGGCCGCCAGGCCAGCTGCTTGGCCAAGGGTGAGGGAAGGGTTTCTCTGAGCTTCTTGCCCCAAGGAAGAAGGCCTGGGTCTCTGCAGGTGTTGAGGAGGAGGAAGAGGGGCAGTGGTCTGCCTTGGGTGGGAAGGAGAGGAGGGGGGCGGGGGGTGAGGGGGGGGCGGGAGGGGAGAGGAGGGGTGGGGGGAGAGGAGGGGGCGGGGGGAGAGGAGGAGGGAGGAGGGAGGGGGAGGGTGGGGGCGGGGGGCGGGGTGGGGGGGATGTCCAGCTCCCTCTGACTTGCTGGGTCCAGACAGTGTAAGTCCATGCGGCTAGGGGACCAGGAGTGTCAGAATGTCCCAGAAGCTTTGCCTTGCCATGGCTCAGCTGAGAAGACAAACTGCTGACCCCCGCCCCCCACCACTGGAGGAGACCTGTGCTGCAAGAGGGGGACCTGGCCCAGGCCCCACCCTTTCTTTACGAAAGGCCTGTAGAGTCAGGCGTGAAGCGCCCAGCGCAGTGGGAGCCGGAAGCTGCAGCCTGTCCCTGGTGGATGGAGCACAAAGTGAGTCTCCTCCTCCTGATCGGCCCTCCTACTCCGGCAGCAAGGCCCTGGAGCAGAGGCTGGGGGTCAATGGGCCACTATTCCCAGGCCCTGCTGCACTTGCACAGATCTAGGAGTGAGGGTTTCTTAAATTTTGCACCCTAATGTCTTATTTATTCCCCCCCAGGCCCGGTCCTGGCAACCTGTGAGGCTGTGTGTTTCTCTGGGCTCTGTGAACATCTGTCTCTGAGCTGCAGCTCACTTGCATGTCACTTGAAGGACCCTCCAACAGCTTCCCATGCATTTACCAACCCAACTCTCTTTTCTGGTTTGGAAGGCCCTCTGGCCCAGCCTCACTTTGCACAGCACTCCCCTGCCCCCCACTGTTTTGGATGAAGTTAGTGCACTCTGCCACAGGGCCTTTGCATGAACTAATTGCTCTGCCTGCAGTGACCCCCCCCCCCATACCCCATGGCTCTCTGCCTGTTTCCTCAGTTTTCTTCCCTGACTACTCAGTCTAAAGTGGCCTCCCGGTCACCTGAGATTTTCTAATTTTTCGGCCTCTCTAGAATGTCAGTCCCCCGGGGCAAAGGGACCGTGTTTGTCTATTCCTGGTTAGGCGTCGGCCTCCAGCGCCCAGGAAGCCCCCAGGATTCACTGTGGGATGCACTGAGAGGCATTCCTGGTACTCCTTGATGAGTGAGAATTGGACGCAGCTGTGTGAACGCATGGTTTGCAGCCTCTGAGCTGGGCAGAGCGTCCAGCCTGAGCCTCAGCCGCAGCCTGCCCTGTGCGGTCATCTTTCTGTGCAGACCATTCCAGCGGCCAGAGGGGGAATGGGAGGGGTTTCATTTTGAATGGCACTGCTTCAGAGGGAGGGTTTCCGGATAAGATCCAGCACGCCTAGTTCCATGGGAATTTCAGATAGACAAAGGGTTTTTAAAAACATGAGTACGTCCCAAATATTGCACAGTGCACACTTACACTTAAAAAAAAAAAATGGTGTTGGGCTAAAATGAAAATGTAATTGAGTGTCCTTTATTTTTATTTGCTGAATCCAGCAACCCTCTTCAGAGGGCTAAGCCCCTGGGAACGCCCTTCTCTTCGGGGATGTCTTGTCGGTTCCAGCTGGTCACTCTGCACACTTGTCAGTCAGCGCTGGCCCTCAGCCCGGTAGCTGAGGCAGTGGGTCTCCTGCTGGTAATTAAAGCTCATGCTTTGGATGGGAAGGTCACCAAGTGTCAAGTGGGGCCCTGAGGACTCTTGAGAATGTTCAAGCGGCTCTTGACACCTGCCTATAGCTTGAGGTTGTGGCTCTGACTTCTGCTTGATGCCTAAGATGAAAAAAACCCAAATACAAACAACAAAAATAAACCAAAAAAAAAAAAATCCCACTTTGCCTTTCTTGTCCTCTGACGTGGGATTCCTGGGCAGAAGGGCGAACGGTGGAGTGGTTTGAGTGCTGGCTGGGACGATGCTGCCAAATGCCCTCTGTCTTGGGCAAGGAAGGGTTCCTACAGCAGGGCCCCTGGGCCCCTTCCCGGGGCCATGCTGGGGGAGCCCCTGCAAACCAGCTGTCACGTGGTCCACTTCGGCTCCGCATGGGGCGGGGCTGTGCCCTGTGTGTGCTCGCTCAGCACTCATTCTTGCTTCAGGGCCAAGCCTCCTGATTCTTTAAACACCAAATGTTAAATTTTTTTTTTTTAACCAGAAAATGTACATTATAGTAACCTGAAGAAAACAGAAACAATCCAAAGAAATCCCCAGTCACCAATGGACTTTTTAATCCTTTAGGGTTTTAGGTAAACAGCTAAATGGCTGTTCCACCAGCCTGCTAGGGGACCTTGAGAAGTTATGGAACCTCTCCGTGACTCAGTTTCCTCCTCTGTAAAGTGGGGATTATCGTAGTCCCTTCCCTTGTAGGGTTGTTGGGAAAACTAAGTTGATTGTTTCATGCACATGGAACAATGCTCGGCTCCTGGTATGGACTGCATTAGTTACTGAGTCATTCATACCCCGATTTTTAAACTTTAAGATTATTACTTCTATGTTCACTTTAATGATGGAGTGGGGAGGTCTAATACAGCCACTTCTAAATTCACGTGGACCCCGGATTATCTTGGTATTGAATAGTTATTTCTCACAGTATGATTATTTACCATGGCAATGAAATGACTGCGTTAAAGCGCAGTGCCGCCACGTGCCGCCTGATGACGGGGTGCAAGCTGAGAACTGTGTCCTCAGGTGATTTTGTTGTGTGCGAACTCCACAGAGGCAGTTACGGAAACCTAGATGGTACAGCCCACGGCACCCCCAGGCTGCTGCATGGTAGAGCCCACTGCTCCCAGGCTCCAAGCCTGTACAGCGTGTTCTCGTACAAAACAACACGAGATTAAATCAAGCACAAGAGAAAATGACGCCATCGGGAGAGGGGTAAACACCAGGCGCGTGAGGCTCCTGCAGGTGTATCATGTCAGACTGTTTTACAGCAAACTTTTTTTTATAAGTAGAAAGGGTACACTTAATAAAAAGTAGAGCATATATAGAGTAATGCATAAACCAGTAACGTCATCATTAATTGTTACCAGGTGCTATGCACTGTACGTAATTGTACGTGTTGGACGCTTATACGAGGGTGTTCCCATCACCCTCCCGGCAAATGCGTAAGGCGTCACGTTATAACGTCATGTCGTTAAGGCAGCTACGACGTTATGACGCAAAGATGGCTACGAGGTCGTGACGTTAAAATGGCTCTGACTAGGTGTCAGGAATTTTCAGCTCCATTTTTAACCTTACCGTCTTCTATTCGGTCCACCCCTGACCGAGAAAGTTGTTCGGCAGCGCGAGGCCGTGTCTGGTAATCCTGTCGACCACACACAACGTCCCACGCGCTGGGCTGCGGGTGTGCCTGGTGGCACCCCCACGGAGGTAGGTTCTGTCGCCGCTCCTGTATTTGGGGAGGAGGGGATAGACTCTGAGAGGAGGCACACCTTGGAGGTTGCAAACAGTGGACCAAGCCACCAGTCTGTGCTTGGAGGTCCAAGTAGAAAATGGCCTGTGCCCAAATCCCCACGGAGCTTCCTCCCGTTGCTGCAAATGTCTGGGGCCCAGGGCTCTTCCCTGGCTTCCTGAGGCTCTGCTTTTTGCCTGACGCCAGGTCAGGTCCCCAGGTCTAGCTGCTCTAGATCTGGGCGCTACCGGACTCCTGCTGGGAGAGGAAGGGCGGGGCTCTGAGAGCTGGGACCTTCTGCCACAGGGCGGGGTCCAGGTGAAAACTAACCGCCCTGGGGTCTGCTTCCAGCTCGGGTCTGCAGTGCTGCGGAATTTACATCTTTACCGAAGGGCCCTGGGTCTCCTCCAAACGGCTTCCAGGAGAGAGGTGTCGGGGGGAGCTTTATGCAGAAGGCTGGTGCAGGCCCTGTTCTCCCTTTCGCGGTGACAGCAGGGATCTGAGGGGCCTCGCCAGCCAGGTGTCCCCGGTCCCTGCACCCAGCTCTGTGCCCGTCTCCTCCGCAGACCCA